TCTACACCTGTATCACCTGTATCACCTGTCGTCCCGTTGATCGTCGAATTGCTCGAGCGGGCGCCAGCAACGTCTCCATTCGTCCCTGTCGCGTGCAGAGTTGTCCAGTGGACCCTCCTCGCTCGAGGGACACGAAGTCCTTCATTCCTTTCGTTCAGAGCTTTCGTGAAGAAGTCTGACCATCGGGCCGGCGGTCGTCCAGGTGTTCGTTTGACGTCCCGAGGGATCCAGTCGGTCCATCGCATGACGTGTCCGGCCCACCTTATCTTCGATTCCTTGGCGAAAACGGCAGCGTCCCTGATCTTCGATCGTTGGCGTAGTTCGAACTCCGGATTCCCCTCTGCACTTGCGTGTATAGCATCGTCCTCTCGACAGCGCGTTGGATAACGCTGACCGCATGCTCGTCCTGCCTGCGCAGAGTCCAAGTCTCTCTGCACTTATACTTATACTTATACGGCTCGTCCTAATAACCGAAAAGTCTTGTCAGACTAGCAGGGCGGCGCCCTAATCCACTGCTGAACACTAGTAAAAACTCGCATGCAGCTCCTCACCTATCTCCCCGCCCATCTCCCCTAACCTACCCGCTCTCTGCTTTTCGCCCTTCCGGGACCACCCTGTGGAGACGGCCCGTGCTCGCGTCCTTTGACGTTTGCCTCGTTCTACACCAACGTCTCCTACATGCCTAGTGCTTGCGAAGGCGTACTTGCCACTTTTCCCTGACCACCAAGCCTCTCTCCCATTCCTATGGTCTATCAATATCCCAGACCATGTCGCTTCTCAAAGAATGTCTGGCATGCAATGTATTCAAATGGTCAGGCGAGTATTATAAACAAGTTAGAGGGCTCGCTATGGGGCAACGACTCGCCCCTGTACTCGCAATAGCGTTTATGTCGAAAATAGAAAGACCTGTTCTAGAACGGAAGCCCTTACTGTACTGTCGGTATATAGACGACTGTTTGATTGTGTGTCCTACCCAAATGGAGATGGACACCTGTTTCGAGCTGTTTAATAATCAATCGGAACACATCAAGCTAACCAGGGAAAAACCGACGGAAAGGTGGCTCGCTTTTCTGAATGTTCAGGTTCAGATCAATGCAGGTACTTTCAAGACGAAATGGTATCGGAAGCCGGCTAGTAAGAACATACTGATTCATTTCAGCTCTGCCCACCCCTCTAATACGAAGAAGGCCATCATTAGAAATATGATGCGCACCGCCACAACAGTTTCATCAGGAAGCGACGAAAAGGCTGAATCGCTCGAAAAGGCGCGCCACATAGCACAGGCGAACGGCTATCACGCAGGAATTTCTTTGA